CCTGGCGGCAGTGACAGTCACTGCAGAGGCACAGGGCTTGTGGATAGATGACCCTGCGACCTCAGCAAATCCCCAGAATTCAGAGGGATCTCAGAAGATCTATGGTTTTTGTGGCTGGGATGATACAGCTGGGGACGGTTCTGCTTTGAGCAGGGAATTGGACTAGATGACTTCCCGAGTTCCTTTCCAACCGTAATTTTCTATGACTATAATCTTGATCATCTCCTCCAAAATTGTCTGGTGGGCCCTGTCCAGAAGTGGTGTGGGATAGGAATCTGTCACCCTTTTGAGGAGGCAGGGAGTATTTTGGTATTTTGCAGACCCACTCAAAACACCCTTTCATAACTGACAACCTCAGGAGGGATTTGTTAGCTAGGACTAAGATAAAGCCACCCCAAGGACAAAAGATAGAAAGAGCTCTTAAATGTATTTTCTATACTTTGTTAGGTCTCAGATCTTGTCTTCTACTATCACTACTTGCTAGGAGTTCCTCTCTAGCTGATGGTACATCCTGGATATCTGAGACATATTCCTAAACATACGCTTTATATTAAAGGATCAGACAGTGAGAGCAGAGGGCAATGGGATTAAAAGTGAGACATGAGGGCATGATCTATTCAATACTGGAAAGCTGACTTTGGAGATTATGAAAAGAAGCAGAAAAACTGTGACGGGACATTTTTAACTTTAGTCCAGTCCATGGGTTATACTATATTATATTCTAAAATTCCATAGTAAACATACGATGGGCTATAAAAGCAAGTGAAACAAAGGGCCTCTTGTTATTTGGACAACTGGAGCAAAGCAAGTGAGACATTATTCGGTGTACTATTCATTTCTATCCAAATCTATTATGTACTGCACTGAAAAAAATTATCTAGTCAAATAGATTTTTCAGTCCACACAATACTGAAAAATTTCCAGGGGAATTGAGTTTAGTGCTTCTTTGGGTATATGGAGAACTCGTTACCATGAACTCTGGAGAACTTAGCAGACCAGCCTGAATGAAGCTGAGAAGTAAATGCATATGGACCAGCCCTGTTTCTATGGAACAGTTCAGGTTGAGCCAAGATATCAACTACAGGAAGGCAAATGTTTGTATGCAGAGAAGAGTGCCGTGTAGGGGAAATGAGGGATTTCTATAAATGGATTGTCACAAAATCTCTATTTATCTACAAAACACATCCATCACTGGATAATTTTATAAAGTTATGGCATCTGAAATTCTCTCTTTGAAAACAGATGACTTGGGGTAATTTAAGATCTGTTTGCACAGTCAGCAAAGTTAAATGTTTAGAAAACTGGGGTATAAATTGTTTGGCATGGAAAAATTTTAAAAATTCATCTACAGTATATCTTACAGTTACAGAGATATAAAATGACAGATCCACTGAAGTCAAACACATTTATATAGGAAAGCATGTGGAGAAAACAACCTTGTTTTCAAATGTTTTCTAAGTTTTCTAAGTATTTGCAATTGATTGAGGCTTTTCAAATTGTAGATACCGAAGTGTTTACATTTAAATTCTACCGTTAAAGTTTTGGTCTTGAATTTCAAGAATCTACTCTGGCAATTTTCAGACCTCGGTTAAATGTTTCCTCCTTGTCCCCAGTCTCACGGTGTCAATAACGACACTGATGAAAATGTGGGTATTTGAACATAGCTTAAAATTAACATGAACAGTCATTGTCTTATACTACAAAACTTAGAAAGGAATGCAGTAGGCCAAAAATATATGAGGGGCAAACCTCTGAGCAGTCTTGTCCAGCAGTTTCCAAAATACTACAGATTTTGGTGCAGATAATCAAAGCTGATGCGCTGTTTTTTTGATGAGATTTCTATAACTATCTGCCTTTTTTTTTTCTAGGTACACACCTATCCACTGAAGGATATATTCTCAAGCTTGCTGAGTCACTGTTGAAAATGAGATTATTTGGAAGAATTTTACCTTGAGTTCTTGAAAACATTCTTAGCAAACAAAAAGGGATTAAAGCTTTTGAGCCAATTTGACATACAAAATCTTGATAGATCCTCTGATGTTTTTTCATCCTTTCAGACTTTTTTTTCAAGAACGGATACACACTTTTTCTACATCTCTTTCTATCTGCACTGTCTCTGCTTACATGAGCTGTTGGCACAACAACCTGACATATAACTGGCAGGATAGCACTGCTCATTGAGCATGCGTCGTCTCATATGTATCCTTTTCTTTTATTGCACTTTTGCTGGGCTTCCGCACACAGTGCAGATGTTTCTCCAATGATATTTAATGATTATTTTTAAAGTGGGGGGCTTAGAGCAGATGTTCCCAAGTGGGTATGGCTCCTTCCTTCCTACTGACATTTCATCTACACAAACAACAGATTGGATTGCTGTCCTTTACAATCTAAAGTTAAAAAAACATCCCATACTAATACTGTTTTTGGCTCTCTCCTCCAGCATTCATGCATGACATATATGGTAATTCCATCTCTCTGCTGCCCTTCTCTTTAATGCCGATTTTTCTTTTCCAAAAAAGAAATATGTTTACTCTTGTTTTGAACTTGCTTTTCTCAATGTCTGCCACATTTTAATCTACCAACATTATTACCTTTCTCTGAACCAAATGCTCATTTTAATGGAGCTATGTCCAGTGACTGCAGCCTCAGACATTCCAAGAAAAATGAAATGACAAGAACCTTCTTTTATTTATTGTTTTCTTAATCACATACGATTTCTAATTCTAGACACAGATGCAAAAGACAGCGATCTGACAAAAATGAGCGTGTTTCAGCAAGAAACGTCAACTTATTTTTGATTCTCATTGTACTTCAGCATGTTTCTAATAGCTCTTGTTGCCCCTGCCTAGATCTCTACTATTCACCCTTACATTTAATTAGTATTGTTGCTTCATTTCCTCTCTCAAAGGTGCATCCACACTGCAACCAGAGAATGATAAAGTCCAGCAGCTTTCTCCATCGCAGATCCCTATTTTGATCTGGAGGGAAGAAAGTGAAAAATGGAACCCACTGTCATATCAATACTCCACCCTATTTAAAGTGGAGACTTGGCCTTTTAAATTTAGGGGCAACACCTTGCAGGTTTACTACTTCCACATTCTCTCTGAATCTGCACTTATAGCAGGATGGCCAACCTGTGGCATGCATGCCACAAGTGGCATGGGTAACCTATGCATGTGGCATATGGCAAATTGGGAAGAGGGCAGGCAGGATTGGCAGGTAAGGCAAGGAGCAGAAAGCAGAGCAACAGATCAAGCAGGGGAATGGGACTAGAACAGTACTCAGAGGGGGTGGGGCTAGCTTGTGGCATGCCTGCAAAAAAGGTTGGCCCCCCACCGATAATGGAATTGTCTTGTTATTTTGTACACTCTTCTCTCCTCTCCACCTCCACTCCAACAATCCCAATATCCAGCACATGCCCTCTTGCCACCTGGCCCTGACTAATTCTGCATCAGTATTTTTTCTACTTTTTAACTATATCCTTTTAAAGTTCTGAAGCACAGCAAAAGGAAAAGATGCTTAGGGCACATTCAAATGAGTGCATGTGTGTGTTTCCCAGGGAACAAATAGAAGCAGCACATACTTTGGCCACTGCTACTTGTCTCCAGGGAATGCCTGTGCATGTGAGCTCTGGCTCAAGGCAAGTTGTCTTGGGTGGGGTGGGTGAGGCTGGAGCCAGCATCTGAGCTAGTCCCAGCAGCCTTACTTGGGATCCTGGGGGCCTCCCGGGGCTCCAGGGCAGTGATCCAGGTGCATGGACAGCCTGGCTGGCAGGCAGAGTGTGGCTCCGGCCAGCCAGACTCCAGTTCTGTGCAGTGCATGCTGCTACCATGTGCGCTGCCCTGCTTTTTTCTGCCATTGTTTTTTTTTTACATTGGCATTTTGACACTGGGACTGAAGCAACCTAAACCTCAATTCATGGAGGACAACATCCTACAAAACCAGTCTCCAAGGCTCAGCACAAAACATCAGTTTTGATGGCACCAACAGCTTAAGGGCCATCTTAGAACTGGCATAAAAGATAGCACTGGTTGAAATATTGACCATTTTCATCTTTTGGGGGAAATAAGTGAAGCAGTAAAATGCTCTCTTTTTTCTTTGAGTGCAATATTTTTCACTTAGCTGTGATATTATAGGGGACCCAAAGATATGCTTTAGTACTATTAAGTCAATTTGGTTTATAAAAATAGCTACAGGAAAATACATTAATGTGTTTTGGGGTTTGTATGGTTTTTTTGAACATGGTTATTGGATGGTAAGTGACTAAAGGTTTATGACAGGTTTCAGCCAAAGATACTGAGAAAAGAGCCATTTCTCTACTTAGCCAATATTAAGTATACAGCACCTTTTCTAAGCATCTGACAGAACAATTCATATTGTTTCAATCTCCTAAAAAAAGAATATCATACTCCAGTCCACATCCCTGATCCAGTAAGCTTGCTCAGATGGAGGGATCCTTACCCACAACCTTTACAGCTCTGCAGCAGCTTTATCGTTTGCGAAAAAAAACTCACTAACCTGATTGCTTTGTGCTGTTTTTCGCGATGATATCCAAGAACCAGCTCTCAGTCTTCCAATCTCTAGATGCACCAGCCCTTGGGCACACTTGGAATAAAATACAATATACAATATTTAAATTGGGACATCGTATTTCTGCTCTCCCTGATATTCGCATCTGATTTCCAACATCTATTCCACATCTATTTGGTAGGTAGGTGAAGCTTTAGGTGGCAATTCAATTCAGAGGAGATCCGGCCCGATTCAGTGACCGAATCTCTGAATCCAAATCAAATCAGGGGACCAATTTAAAGGTCCAAATCGATTCAAAGCTCTCCGAATCTTCGGAAAAGATTCAGAGAGCTTTGATGATTCGGGCAGTCTCCAGTGGCTGCAGCAGGGAGCTGCAGTTGACTCCGAGCTGCTAAGTACTAGGGGCAGGGGAGGGGAGACCATGGGGGGATCCCAGCCAGTCTCCCCAAGCCCCCCACACCCCCA